GGCGTCCTGCGGTGGCGACAAGTGGCTCTCGTGGTGACGCTCACGGTTAACGGGCAGCAGAAGGCATGGGATCGGAGGCAGGGCAACGAGCCCTTGAAGAACACCTGTTCCCCACGCGGCCTTGAGCGAGTCCCCGGACAACTGGAGGCCTTAGTCTCTTCATCTGCAAAACGGACGCTGAGACGCAGCCCTCAGCGGATGCGTGGGAGTTCCGATGCTGCATGTGCACACCCACAGGGCATGTGACACACACACACACACACACACACACACAGCGCTCAGGAGCCGTGTTGCTGCCATTTGTAAATGCACCTTTAGCGCCCATAGTTCCCGTCATGATTTCTCCTCCCCCGTGGGTCCTGTGTTGGTGTTTGCTGAAGACAGGGTCATGGGTCACGTCCAGGTCACCTGTCTCAGGCACCCCCCCCCCCAGCCCCTGGGTTGCTGTCAACCCCCATGTCCTGCTTGACCACAGAGGAGCAGTGGGGGCCCCCACACCCCAGTTCCCGCCTGACTCGGGGTGGCCTTCAGCAAATCACTCCCCTTCCCTGTCCTCAGGTTCCTCCCCTGGACCCCAGGAGGACTGAAGCTCCTGAGTGCACAAACTCTTTTTAATCCCCCTTTAAAAATTGTTTCATTCCACGAAATGAGTAATAAGTTTTGGGGGGAGAAACGCCCATCCATGTTATTTTTTTTTTGCCTACCTGCCCCACCTCTCCCCCCAGTAACCTTTGGCATGATTTCCTCAAATCCCCTTTAATCTTCCTGAACTCCAAGACCTGGAAAGAGTGGGACTAGGGAAGAAACTCTGGAACAAAACCTGGCTTCTTCCAGGATGCCTCCAGCAATGGCGTCAACATTTGTCACGGGAGGGGCGGGGCGGGAGAGAGGCCAGTGCATTAAGGGAGGGAGCTGTCACGCCTGCCGCCTGCATCTCTCCCCCACGCCCCAAGGGCAGGGTTGTCTTCCTGCTGCGAAGACCAGACCGAAGACTTGAGCAGCAATAACAAGCTTCCCTTTGCTGGGCGGTGGGTGGGAGGCCGGGTAAACTCATCAGTGTCTGTGCTGGGGCGGTTGTGGGCAGCCTTTTAACAAGAGGTTAATCCGAAAGCGTGAGTCAGTGCTTGTGAGGGGAATCCATTCAGAAAGAAAAAGTGTGGCTTTGACCGCTTGCTTCCCAGATGAATTTGCCCAGAACTCCGTCAAGGAGAATCTCCTGATGGAGAAAGAGCTGGAGGAGGAGCGTTCCCGGTACCAGAACCTCGTGAAGGAATATTCCCGGTTGGAGCAGAGATACGACAACCTTCGGGACGAGATGACCATCCTGAAGGCAAGGAGGGCGGTCCCGAGGCCCTGCAGCCACCCGCCCCCCCCAGGGGCAGCTGTCTGACCTGCATGCTGCCCAGCAAATCTGTGTCACCTTCCAGGGGTCCCTGCCTGGCCTGCAGGGAGCTGTTACATAGGGAGCAGCTGGGCCCGGCAGTCATGCCCAAGGACGGCTCCTGTCCCAGTTTACGGGTCTTAGGAAGATCTCAGTTAGGAGTTGGAGGAAAATCCCACCCAAGTGGATGTGTTCTCTTTCTTGTTTCCTGTTCTGGGGCCCTCCGGGTTTGCATCTGATCTCAGCTGCACTAGCTGTTGATGAAATGCAACGTACATGGAAACACTGTCCCACTTCAGGGTTTGTCGTGCCTTTTCACCACGTAGAAGCATTCCCTCCAGAAACGCATAGTCAGACAAGACGGAGTAAGGTAACTGCATAGAAACCAGGAAGAGAAACTGAATAGGAACCTAGAAATCGAAAGTTTTCCTACCAAGGTCAGTTTTCACTCTCAAAGCCAAATCAGATGCAAGAAACACAAAGGTATTTTTAAATGAAAGGTATAAACGGTAACCTCCGTTTCTAGTAGGCTTACTGTTTTCATAGACCACTTGGCGGGGTGCAGGTGCTGAAGTGGGGGCCCTAGGGGCAGGCGTTCTGGAGGGACTGTCCGTGCTGTCGGGCAAGACTGGAGGTGCGGGCTCCTTCCCTGGAACCCCAAGAGCGAGTGGCCTCAGTGTCAGGGATCCGTGTGTCATTAAGAGGCGCCCCATCCTTACAGACGAGGGTGAAGTCCAGCTCTCCGGCCTGCTGTTCTTTGAAAAGCAGTAGTTCTTATGTAACATTAGTTCATTATGAGTTTCCACGTTCTTCTCCTTAAACAGCAAACCCCGGGCCACAGGCGGAACCCGTCAAACCAAAGTAGCCTCGAGTCGGACTCCAATTACCCCTCCATCTCCACGTCCGAGGTCGGAGACACGGAGGACACCCTTCAACAGGTGGAGGTGAGTGAGGCAGCCTCTGGGCTGGCCGCGTGCAGAGGGGGTGTGGGTTACCTGGGCAGAGCCCCCGCGGAGGTTCACTCCTCTGCAGGTGGTGCCTGGAGCTCCCGGGGTTCCTCCCTGACACCAGGACCACGGGGGCTGCAGTGGACTCACAGACTGTACTCCGGGGTTATCATTCACCATGCAAACAATACTTTATTGTTCGCCCTACCCACTCTCCAGACCAGGAGGGAGAAGGCAGGTCCCTGGTTCCTCTTACAAAGCTAAGAACCCATCGCTAAGACGTGCAACAGTCGGCCTCAGACAGAGCAGCCAAGTCATTACAACAGACAGAATGCATTGTCCCCGTTTAGGGTCCCAGTGCAGACAGTGATGTCGATAAATACGCGAGAACATTTTCCTCCGTGAGTCAGAAGCGGGATGAAGCTCGGAGGACAACAAATATTTACTGAGTGACTGCGTTTTTGTCAGTAATAGCCTCTTAGCAGCCCTACGTAGTGCACTACACAGGGGACTTTATAGCCTGCGTGCAGTTTTGTCAAAGGTACATAGACACACAAGTGTTCCTCTGGCATTTGAAAAGAAGAAAATCACAAGCCTATAAAACGTTATGAAGCACACGAAGCTAGATATGGAGGGGAGACAGTTATGAAAAAGCGCATGAGTTCTGAGCACGAGTTCTGAGCGTGTCTGTGCTGGGCATGCTGGGAGGGGCTGGAGATGCTCGGGGGCCAAGCCCGGGAAGGTCCCTGCCTGCCTGTGTGCAGCTTGTCTGACCAGCCGATGGAAGACGTTTGTAGTGTAGTTGCAGGCCCTGCTGAGTGCCGTGGAGAAAAATTAAGGGGGATAAGAGACCGTGAGGAATGCAATGGAGAAGCGAAGGCTAGACGAGGAGGGCCTCGGGTGAAAGGTCTGTCTGTCTGCAGCCCAGGTGGTCTGCCGCTGGTCAGGGACCCTTAGCAAACATTTAAGAAATGCCAGCGTAAGGCCCTCGGGTTCACCACCGCGCTCTCCCAAGTCTGGAGGCTTCCATCAGGAGCCTGGACGCACCACCCGCATGCTGTGCTGTGCTGTGTGGCACTCCCCTCAGTGGGGTCGTGTTCCCCAGGGAAGCCAGAGCAGCGGGCACGGTCCTGGCTGAGCACAGAGCACTCCCTAAAGGCTGATTGGAGCAAATCGCACCGTCACGTGCATTCTCTTTCTTGCATCCTGCTCCGGGGGCATCCGGGGTTGCAGCAGCAATGGCGCGGGGCGTTCTGAGGGCAAAGCCAGGCGTGAATCTAAAGAAAACCATGTGGGCGATGGATGCGGGGAGGGCTGTTGGAGTCATGGCCTCCCTGACGGGGCATGCGCTGGCTCTGTGTCAAGGCGCAACCCAGTGGCGCATGACAGCACATGCGCGCTGACTGGTGACCGCACCGGTTCACACATCAGGACGCCTGATGTCCTGAGTGTTACAGCTTCTCGGGGGTGAGACTGTTTTCCGGAAGGGAGCCCTTCTAACTTCCAGATAAAAGGGCTGCCTCTTTATCCGTTTGTTCTTGGAGTATGTGATCGGTCATCTTACGCGGCCCACACAGGAGGAATATAAATGTTTGCGACTCAGATATTGTTATCTAGACAGAAAATGAGCCTGGGGCACCAACTTTAATATGAGAAATGATGGCCGGCTGGCCCTGGCTTTGTGTCTGAGACGTGGACTGATGTGCGTGGGCGGAGAGTGAGGACAGACAGCTGACAGAGCGGTGGGCAGCGAGATGCCGTGGGGTTCCTGAGGCGTTTGTTCCATTCCTCCTCTCCCCCGCTCCCTGGCTCTCTCTCTGAAGGAGATCGGCCTGGAGAAGGCGGCCATGGACATGACGGTCTTCCTGAAGCTGCAGAAGAGAGTGCGGGAGCTCGAGCAGGAGAGGAAGAAGCTGCAGGGGCAGCTGGAGAAGAGAGAGCAGCAGGACAGCAAGAACGTGCAGGTGCGGGACGGGGCTGCGAGCCCCCGGCGGCGGCGCCCTGTGGTGCGGGCCTCGGAGCCTCGGGGGGCCACTGTGCCGCTGGGCTTCAGAGAGTGACGTGGTCTCCTGCTGAGTCACGGCTGAGTCTTCCCTGCGAGGGCCCCAGATCGCACCAGTGGGGAGGAAGTGGGCTTTATGATGCCCGCCCTGCAGAGGTGTCCGCTGTTAAAGCTAGTGGGGAGCCTGTGGCCTCGCCACCACTGGCAAAGAGGACAGGGCCGTGGGATCACAGTACAAGTGCCAGCAGAGTGACATTAGAGCGGAGAAAATGCCCTGCCTTCTCCTAACTGGAATCCGGCGTGGGCCTGAGCTCAGGCCCACTGGGTCGGGAGCAGAGCAGGTTCGCAGGCCCCAGCCTCCTCCCCATGCCCGCACCCTCGCCCCCGTCCAGGTCCTCCTCAGCGCTGAGCAGTGAAAGACACTGTTGGAAGTCCTAGTGTCCCCCGGCGTGTCACCCACTCTCTGTCTCAAGGACCCTCGGCACTGTGCTGGTGCCAGGCTTGCATTCAGAATGTTGGTTAAACGAGAGGAGGTAGACTGTGAGTGAGGGAAATCCCCAGCCGCTGAGGAACGTGTCATGCAGTCGGGGAGGAGGGGACAGAGCAGGTGAAGAGAAGAGCAGGACAGTGGCAGTGCTGGAGGCGAGGCTGGGTGCCGACGGACCGGTGCTCGTCTGCAGTGACCTGGACGGGAGAGCCGTCCGTCACGTCTCGGGAGGGACACAGGCCACCTCTAATGGGATGCAAGGCTGACTCGGACAGGGTCTTATTGTCAGGGCCCTCACAGTGGGTTTGTCAGAAACCTGTGGTCTGTTCTCAGGCCTCAGTTGCCCCCTGGGGGGTTTGACCTGCTCCCCGCATCCTCAGCCCTGCCCGCCCCTGCTCCAACCTCTGCACAACCTCCCTTGGTAACACCTGACTTCTCTTTCCCATCAGAGGTGTTACAGACGCTAGTACATTCTTGGGTGGTTGTTTTTCTTTTTTCCCCTGAGCACTAAGTGGGGAGGTAAGTCTTGCTGATGGACTTCAAACCTCTCGGGCAGATGGGATGCAGAATGGAAAGCGGGAAGACTAGGTTTATACACGACTTCATTCAGTTAGAAGAGAAGCTGACCTGAGGGGTGAGCGTGAAATCAGACATTTGCAAGGACGACCTCAGACGGTGCCTGGCGTAAACGTTTCCGGCGCACCAGCTGCCCCTGAGGATTCACTCTCCTGGTTCCCCACCACGGGATACCTGACCATTTTGAAATCCGGGCTTTAGACTTTTGTTTGTCTTGATAGCAAATGAAAAAGGGATATCTCTTTGCTTAAAAAATAATCACCGAGCAAGGGTTGGAACTGTAGGCAGGGCGCAGGGGGTTGTGGAATCACTCCCTAGCATCCTGAACCCAGGCTTTCACAGACAGTGTTCTTGGATCTGCCCTTGGTCCCAGGAAGAATCCTGAGACACCTGGTTCTTTATTCTGGGGCGTTGTGGGCCGGGGTGTCAGCCTTAGACAGAGGCCAGCCCTTGCGTAAGGAGTGACGGGGGAGTCTGTAGGGGGCGCCATCAGTGCGGGAGTGACCGAGCCTGCCATGAGGACGAGGACGGGGCCTCAGGGACAGCCAGCCAGGCTGCCCGTGTACTTGACTTTCCATCTCTCCGGCTCCTGTTTCCCAGGCCCAGCAAAGTCACCTTGGCCACCAGGGGGATTCCAGTGGGCTGCGCACTTAGAAACTTGGCAACCGCGCACATGAATGCCCACAGCTGTTCGAACTGGAGTAGATGAGCTCTTTCCCAAGAGCCTCGCACACTCAGCCATTGTCCATAGCCGTATGACAAATCCATGGCACACAGGATGCAAGCACAGGCCTTTCCCGCTGGGCAGCGGGCTCCCGGCTGACCCTGACCAGTCACATCCCCCTGCTGAAGCTGCGAGAGCTGAAGCAGAGGCTGGCACCGTGGAGCGTCGTTTCCCCGGTTGCAGGGTGGCCACCGTGCACCGAGCTCAGCCTTCCCCATTGTGGGAAGAGCTGGGGCGGGGAGGGAGACTCAGACGCAGTCCCACCCCAAGCCTGAGGCACACCTTGTCCAGCTGCAGTGGGACAGTGGGGGGTGGCCAAGCCTGTAACTGAAGGTCGCCAGCACCGTAGATAATGATCACCCGTTACTTAAAACCACCCTGAGCAGTTAGTTAACCTTTTACGAAGTGTTTCTGTCCCTTCTCGCTGGACAGGTGAGTAGCTCCTGAATAATTGCAGGAATCGCTGGCCCAGCTGCGTCCCAGCGGACTCGTGCTCCAGTTGCTGCCACCCCGTCTGCTAGCATGGGTTAGCCAATGTCCGGCGGCAGTGACTGGGCATCAGAGGGGCGGACTGTCACACTGCCTGGCGTAGGGTGGCAGGAGGAAGCAGGCTCCCCGAGTGGTGCTCAGGTGATTTCCTGGGAAACCAGTGCACACATCCCAGAAGACCTAAGGGGGCTCAGGAGCCTCATTAATAAGCACAGAATTCATACATATCAGTTAACCTCTTTAATAAGTACATGAGGCTTAACGGTGCTGTTTCCTGTGGCTGTTGAGACAGCACCACTGACTGGGCAGCTTAAAACAACCAGAACCCACTGGCTCTGGTTCCGGAGGCCGGGGGCCAAGAGTTAAGGCGTTATCACCAGCCCTCTGAAGGCCCCTGGGGAGAGTCTGTGCCGCTGCCTGATGGCCGCCGTCCTTGGCGTTCCCGGCTTGCAGCTGCGTCGCTCCCCCTCCCCCTCTGCCTCCGTCTCCACGTGGCCGACTTCCCCGTGGGTCTGTCTGCTCATCTTTAAGGACAGTCATGGGGCCCGTCCTCACGACTGCATCTCAGATCGCTAACACCTGCAAAGATTCTCCAAACTGGGTTCCATCCGCAGGTACCAGGGTTAGGGCTTCGTCGCAGCTTTGGGGGTGACTTGGCCCCTAGCACAACGTCACACGTAGTCATCCCATGGTGCCTGTGAGGGTCGTGTGCATGACGCTGCAGAAGGGGCGAGGTGGGCCAGGTGGGGGAGAGGTTTGGGGAGCGCTTCCGGCGGCCTGAGCAGTGAGCTGCGTTTCGCAGGCATGTGCATAAGGAAGGACCCGTGTGCGAGGGCAACGCACGCCCTGACCGTCCCCGGAAGCACGGCTGTGGGACACCTGCTTTGTAGGCTGCGCTCACCTCTCCGTCCCCTTGTCCATGCAGGTGGAACAGCCAAGGAATGACGTGGATCTGGACCAGGATGCCGACCTGGCCTACAACACGCTGAAGGTAAGGCGCTCGGACTCCCGGCCCGCGGAGGGCGGGTGGCAAAGCTGGGCATCCTCGAAGCTGGTTGTCCGCCCCGGGCCGCTAACAAGTAAAGCTGTGAGCACGCCATCTCCCCTTCTCGCACTTGGAGGTGAAGAGAGTTTTGTATTTACTACAAGGAACCACGATACGTATGTTATAGGAAGCTGTTCCCTCCGTTCCCAATACTTCTGACACAAAAGGTGGGGTGTTCCAACACTAAGCAGTTCTCCGGTCCTCTGTGGGCACCCACCGGGGGTCCTACAACTTGTTCCTGGCCCCGTCTACCCGGAGTTAGCACAGACCGCTGGCTAGGGGCTCGGTCCCACCAGACTGCCGCCACTTCGGACACCAGTCACTGTGGTGGGTCCCCGGGTCACTCCTGCTCCTGCCCAACTTGGCTACAAATCAGGGGTCCCCACCACACACACCCTCCTTGAGTTTGACTGTTCGTGAGAACAGCTGGCCCCCACGCTCATTCAGAAGAGACAGAGATTGTGCCCAGCCGTCTCCTGGTCCTGTGACCCTGCAGCTCTGTGGCGAGTGTGCAAGCAAGGCCCACTTGCCCACACTTTTGGATTTTCTTCGGGAAATGTGAATCGCATTGACCCCGGGGCCCCACCAGCAATGCATGTGTGTGATCGTCGGTCTTTAAATGATCCGAATCCATCTCAGACACAAAGGTGTTTCATCCAGAAAAGCGTAAATACGTCCCCCAACTGAGTCTCAGCGGTGCTTCTGACCCGGAACACAGGTAGTGTTTCCCCCACTGGCGCGGACCGCCGGTGGCCTTCTGTGTGAGCAGAACAGCAAAGGGCGTTGCTGGCCTGCTCTGTAAAACAGCCCGTGGGGCGCCCCGGGGCGAACAACGTGAGGAGGGCATTCCGTTTCCTCTCTCGAAAGACACAAAGATCACCAGGGTGCTGGGGCTCTGGGAAGTCCTGTGGGAAAAGCATTTGTTGATTTGATTAAAATTTAGCTGGCCTTCCCACAAGGAAGGGTGTCCCTGGCCACATCAGCTTAGATCACTCTGGAGAACATGGAGACCTCGGGCCAGGTGCTTCACACCCATCACAGGGGCCGCGGGTTCAAATCCGAGCTTTGGCTGCTGGCAGTGCCAGTCAGGACTTGGTCCAGGGGGGCTCGTCGCTGACATGGGTGGGCTGCCCCTGGCTTCTCAGGAGGACGGGCAGGTTGGTCGAGGAAGGGGGAGGAGGAGCCCCGAGTGGGGAGAGGGCACTGGGTCAGGGGTGATGGCGTGTCTGGCTCGGACTGTCTTCCAGAGGCAGGAGCTGGAGTCGGAAAACAAGAAGCTGAAGAACGACCTGAACGAGCTGAGGAAGGCCGTGGCCGGCCAGGCCACGCAGAGCAACTCCGCCCCCAGCTCCCCTGACGGCTACAGCCTCCTGCTGAACCAGCTCAGGCTGGCCCACGAGGAGCTGGAGGTCCGCAAGGAGGAGGTGCTCATCCTGAGGACCCAGATCGTCAGCGCCGACCAGCGCCGGCTTGCCGGCAAGAACGTGGTAAGGAGACGGCGGCCGCGGGCGGACCTGTCAGGGTGACCCTAGGTGACAGGTTTGCTGTTCTTCTCACGTATCTTTACCCTCAAGGGTGTTGGAACCTCCAAGAGCAGAGTCTTTTGCAGGAGGGGCTCCGCTAAAGGCAGAGCAAGGTGCTCGCCCGCTCCCCTCCCAGCAAGACCCTTCGTGAGAGACTTCGCTGGAAGTTTCTAGAGTCTTCTAAAACATCTCAGTATGAACACATTGAAAAGGAACAAGGCACAGAATTAGAGGCAGGGCCCCACAGCCTGAGGAGGGCTTCTGGCTGGGTTTTCCACCTTGCACCTTGCTGTTGGCTTTGCTCTGAGGTGAAGGAAGCTTCCTCTCCCCCTCAGTCCTCCCAGGTGGCGGGTCCCCCATGTCGAGTTTGTTCCTGGTGTTGCCACCTGCTGGGACAGACTGTGGGGTGGGGGAACAGGGACGGAGGCCACCTGGGCCGCTCTAGACTCTTAAGAGGCTGGGTCACCTCTGAGCACGGACCTGGGGCCAGCTCGGGTGGGGTAGGTAGGCAGTCGTGAGTGCGGAGGGTTCCAAACTGAGAGATTTTGGTCGCATCCTCTGGATTTGGGGCACTTTCTCCCCCTGGGACACTGTCCTTGCCATAGTTCCCCGCCATCCACACTCTGCCTTTCACAGCCAGGCCTTGTCATTCTGTGATTCTTCCAGCGCAGCTTTTTTTTAATCCTCACCCAAGGACGTGCTTATTGATTTGAGGGAGGGTGGCAGGGAGAGAAACATGTGAGAGAGGAACATCAATTTGTTGCCTCTTGTACATGCCCCAACCAGGGACCAAATTTGCAACCTAGACATGCACCCTGACCGGGAATCGAACCCATGACCTTTTGGCCCATGGGATGATGTGCCCACCAACTGAGCCACACCGGCCAGGGCACAATGTGATCTCTTAAAGTCGCATCCCTGCCTGTGTTTAACTACTGTATCTGAAATGGCCCTGGGCCTTTGTCTTTTTCCAAAGGCTCATTTTTATACATCTGTCTATATGTAAAGTCACATAAGAATGTTCTTCAATTATAGTGGGCATTCAGTATTGTTTTAGTTTCAGGTCTACAGTGTAGCAGTTCAACGTTTATATAATTTATGAGGTGCTCCCCACCCCGATGTTTCCAGTGCCCCCCCCGGCACTGCAGACAGTCACTGCAGTATTATCGACCATCTTCCCCACGCCGTACCGTGCATCCCCATGACTGTTTTCTAACTACCGACCTGTACACCTTAACCTCTCCACCTTTTCACCCAGGCCCCCAGCCCCCTCCCAGCGTGAGTCTGTTTTCTGTTTGGTTTGTTCGTTTTGTTCTTCAGAGTCTGCGTGTAAGTGAGACCATGGTATTCGTTATTCTCTGTCTGGCCTAGCTCACTGAGCATAATAGCCTCTAGGTCCATCCATGTTGTTGCAAACGGCAAGATTTCATCCTTTTTTTATTGCTGTGTCATATTCTGTGTATAAATGTACCACGGCTTTTTCATCCGCGCACTTGGGTGGTTTCCATAGTTGGCTATTGTCAGTAACGCTGCAGGGAACACAGGCGTGCGCACATCCTTTTGAATTAGTGTTTTGAATTTCTTTGGAGATACAAAGTCCATTCGTGACCATCGCTTGTATAACCAGAGTTTCTTTGTTTCCCCGGGGACCCCTAGGAGCCGAACATCAATGCCAGAACAAGTTGGCCTAACAGTGAAAAGCACGTGGATCAGGAAGACGCCATCGAGGCCTATCACGGGGTCTGCCAGACAAACAGGTAAGTCCCACCTCGTGGTGATTGCACCTGGGGGAGGTGCCGGCAGGGGGTCCTGCCCAGCCTGACCTGTGAAGGCCACTTCGCCGACACTGACCACACGTTCAGCATCAGGGTCTCACCTGTTTTAGGAGATGCATGCAAAGGAGCAGATGCAGCAAGCCCCACGACCTTAGGGAGGCTGCTGTTAGCTTTGGTGAGAGTCCAGAACACCTGGAGCACCCAGACCCAGACCCTCTGAAAGCGCTCGGGAAGGGAGCTTCCCTGGGGGGCGGGGAGGTGACTGGGGGCCGAGGAAGGGACAGAGTGGCTTTTCTCATGGAGACGGAAGTTGGCACCAGGTGGCCCACCTAAGCAGGAGGCGGGGCCAGCCCCAGCCGTCTGCTGTGATACCGTCTTCTCTCAGCCTCGCTCGTGGGCCTTCCGCGGTGGTGGCCCATCGCCTGCCACTCGAGGGAGGGAACCCCAGCTGGCACTACAGAGGCCAGGTGGGAGAAGTGACCACTGCCGTCTTGGCTGCAGTGAGATTGCCCTGGATTTTAGTTAAGTGGCCCGCTCTGGCCTCTCCCCAAGCACAAGCTACCCAGGGATCGGACAAAGAGCGACGGTTGAAGGGAGGCGGCAGGGTCTGGGGTGTGGGACAGAGCAGAGGCCCCCAGGCCGTGTGGCAGAGGGCCTGGGAGGTGCACTCGGACTCCAGTCGCTTGCTGGCTGGTCACTACTTCGGAGTGCTCTGTGCCTCAGTCTCCTCATCCAGGAATGGGGGGCAGTCACAGCCACATTCTGTACCCAGCATCTTGAGAGGATCAGGTGGGTTAGTCTGCAGGAAGCACTTAGAACAGTGCTGCGTGTGTTCAGGATGCGACATGGTAGCGCCGTGGTCTCCACTGTGGCCGTCTCTGCCTGCTCCTGCCTCTGCGGGCACCGGGGGAAAACGGAGCGGCCTTTTCCCTGGCTGCCTTCCTCTCTCAGCCCTCCACTTACTGAAGGTGGAGCAGTCCCTGAGCGTTTGTTCGGAATTGCTGAAAACACACGCACTTCCAGAAACCGTCAGTAGGTGGCACTGGAGGTGCACATGAAGTTTTGCAGAATGCCACAGTCACTCCTTGGGGTCTGATTCCCAGACCTTTTCATCTAGCGGCTTTCCGCACAGGGGGAAACTGAGGCCCAGAAGGGTGGAGCTGGCCCGAAACTGAGTTAAGGTAGCGTCCAGGAGGCCTGACTTCCAGGCTGGGTCCGTAATCAGAAGGTCCCAGGAGGAAGCTAAATGTATTTCAGCTGAGATGAACATAGTTCTTTTTCCATGCGGAGAGAGAGAAGAAAATGAAGGTGAAACTCACAGGGCTGAAACTCGTCAGGGGTTAGTCATTTTAAATTATCCTGGGTGGAGATAAGAAATGAGGCGAGGAAGAAAAAGGAGCACGGGTGATATTTGAAACTCCAGGCGCGCCCGGCCCAGCCCAGCCCAGCCCCGCCCGCGAGTGTGCGTATCTCCCCGATCTTCAGCACCGGCGCTGTTATCAGCTCCCTCTCTCTCCATCCGAACGGCTGTCAGGGATCCCGTCCCACGCGTCGGTTTCCAGGGGCTGCTTAATACCCTGGATTTGTCTTCCTGTGCAGCAATAATGTTGGTGATAAAGTAAAAATAGCTTTTCTGGTATCTGAAAATAATTCCATTCCCAGCAAGCCCAGGGTGCAGCAGGGAGCTAAACAGCCTGTGAATCAAGGTAAGAACAGAAAGGAGCCACTGCCCCTGGAAGAACTGGTTCCCTGCCCAGTGCCCGCCCGCCTGCAGGTGACACCTGTGGGTTTGGCTCTCCCCCTGCCTGCCGAGTCCCGGCAGGGAGGGCGGACCCAGCCCGTGCTTCCTGGAGCTCATCCGCGTGGACGTCTTGTTACCAGCAGAGCTGCCCTGGACACAAGGGGGCTTTGAACACACAGTCACCCCTCTCCTGCTCTCCTGTGATGGAGGGTGTTCTGGTGCAAATGGAAATGGTATGCGTGGGCGGTGGCAGCAGGGGTGGGAGGAGCTTGCACACACTGAGCTTTGCTTAGATTTCTAGGGGGATCTGAGATGCCCCCGTGCTCAGTCACAGCCTCTCTGAAGAATCTGTGGCCCCCAAGTTCAAAACTTTTTTCACTTGGCAACTTTCCCGGTTACCGAGTTCTGTTTTGATTATTGCGTATGTGTCTTTTCTGCTGTTTTCCAATTGGAGAGAAGCCAGCCTTGAGGGCCTGCCTTGGGAATAGCCATGGGAATGTGTATAGCGCTTCTGCTTCCAAAAAGCTCCCTCACTTCCTGCCTCGGGAACTGAGAGAAAACAGCATTGTTGTCACCATTTTATACAGGGCGAAACCGAGCAAGGGCGGAGCTCCGCCCCAGAGGCTGACAGCTGCAGGCAGAGGTGGGGGTTTGGGGAGCATCTTCCCTAGGCTGTCGGAGCCTGCCTGTCAGGGTGGGTCTGAGAGGGGCCAGAGGGTGGGCGAGTAGGGCAGAGTCCCTGCTGCCCTGGGCTGGTCTCATCTCTAGGCATGCATTCAGGGTCACGGAGCCAGGAAGGAGCCAGGTGTGTGGCCAGGGTGCAGGTCTGGCTCCAGGGACAGAGTGTGTTCCGTTGCTCCTGGCCATTTCTGTCCCAGCCTTGCCAAGTCACTGGAGCTCCAAAGCGAAGTTCATCTCTTGGATCCCCAGACACCTCCTTCCAGGCCCTCTTCACCCCACAGGTCCCATGAAACAGTAGGAGGCCCTCGGCATAAAGAGTGGCTTTGCTGCTGCCGCCTGGGCTTGGGCAGGAAAGCTTGGGGTGACCTCTCCCCCCACAATGGGCCTGCCTGGCAGTGGAGACTTTGTTTAGCCAGGAAGGGGTGTGTGCAGCTGCCTTAGGGTGGCCTTGGAGTTGTGGGCAGACGCCCCAGGTGCTGCGGGAGGGTCTTACTCAGAACAGCAGGACGTTCCCTTTGTTTCCCCGAGTTGTCAGTCCCACGCCATCCTGTTTGTCCAAACAATTCACCTTCGTGTCGTTTCAAGTGGTTCTCTCTTGCTTGTGGTGTTGGGGTGGCGGCTGGCCATTTCTCAGAGATCCCGGGAAATCTCCTGGGCGGTTGGGTGGAAAATGCAGGTGGGAACAGAAGAAATGAGAACGTGCATGGAGCACAAGGTGGTCGTTTTAGAGACGGGAAGCTGACCGGCTCCCGGCGGATGGGAGCCTTGCCCGGTTCTGCCCACAGGGAGGGAGGTCCTTACCCCAGGCGGAGGGGTGGGCGCTGGGCCCTGAGTTTCAGCCTCCGCGGAGGGAAGCCAGTGCCGCCCCAGGCCTCTTTTGGTGCCTGCCCCTTGCAGTGAATGAGGCTGTGTCACAGGTTGTGTAATGAGGGGTCTAGAAGAAACCTCTCGGGTGATTCAGCGGAGCACTTCCACCTGAGACGTGCAGGAAGCGATTAGCGGCGGCCACCCCACCGGCCTCCCCACTCGCTTGGCGGCGGCGGAGCGGGGAGCTGCCCTCCCACGGCCACGGCGGGCTCTCCAGCCCGTTCCGTGCTGCCTGCCTCCCGCCCTCGGAGGCTGGGCCTGCGGCTCTTTCGTGTGTGTCTGTGGCCTCTCTGGGAACGGGGCTCAGCCCAGGAGGTTCCCCAGGAGTGTTTGTTGATTGATTGACATCACATGTAACAAATTCCTGAGTTGTTTGGGTTTTCCTTCTCCCACCACCAGGTGGCGAGCCCTCCCCAGCCTCTGCCCCTGGTGGTGTGTGAGGAGCCGGAGGGAGAAGCTCCAGGCGGGACTGGGTTCTTTCATCTGGGAGCAAAGGATGGCTGGAGCTGGTTGACTAGTTTTTGATTTGCTCCTGTGCCTGACTTCCTGAGTTCTGTGGCTGCACAGCTCCCTGCTGGCATGCTTGTGCGTAACACCTGGCAGGTCACAGAATTAAGAACTGTGTGTCCCCTTCCGAGGCTGGCGGTGCGGGGCCAATGCCCCCTTCCTCCCTGGGTAGCCCAGCAACACGCGTGCGCCTGCCTGGAGAGGGTTAGGACTGGAGTGTCTGCGGTCATGGGAACCACAGGGTTGTGGAGAGCCCGGCAGAGAGGCCAGCAGCCCCTGGGGTCTGGAGGCTGGAGGCTGGAGCGAGGTGGGGAAAGAGCTTCAGACCAGGGTCAGGACGCCACCTGGGTCCTTGTGTCTGGGTGTCAGTGCCAGGCAGGTGGTCACCCTCCTGCAGTCGCTCCCGCCACCACCCCCCCCCCCCCCCCGCCCACCGCCTCACCTGGTCCCTGACCGCCGCGCCCCGTCCCTGACCCCGTGCAGAAAACAGAGTCAGAGTGCAGGCTGCCCGTGTGCCCCTTGGCAACAACCCAGTCACCTTCCAGGCCTCCCCCAGAGGAGCCTGACTGCAGCCCAGCCTGGGCCCCTCCCAGTGGGCCCCCCCCCCGCCCCCTGCCCCCGTGGTTAGGGCCCTAGCTCCTCAAAGGCCCCACCTAGTTGAATGGACCTGTGATACCTGAGAAGGGAAGGCGCTCCACTCTCAGCTCCTCCTGGTCCCTACTGGGCATGCTGGGGCAGCCGGACCCAGAGCCACCGGTCTACCAGCGAAGGCTGAGTCCCGGAGGCCTGGCCTGGGACGAGGGCTGGGACACCTGCGGGATGTGAATCCTGCAGAGAGAGGCGCCCAGGACAGACCCGCTGGCAGTCATGGGGCCTGCCTGTCACTCTCCACCCAGCCCCACTGGCCTCTGAACGTCTCACCTGCCCAGGGCTGTTCCTGGTGGCAGGTGCATGAGTGGGGTGTGTGTGACACGCACCTGACCTCCCAAGCTGCCCTGCTGGCATCGGGCCCACACTGGGCAGCTGGAGAGGGCAAAGGAATCTGCAAGTGCAGTAAACAGGACTCACACGCCCCCAGCCCCCAGCCCCCAGATCAAGGGAGGAAGTTCCATTCTCATCCTGCTAGGCACAAAGTTTTTATTGGCTGTTTCTTTTTGCAAGACTGCAGCAAGGGCTGGCGTCGAGATAATATTTTTTCCCCTCAGGCAGTGACAGGAAAGAGATGCCCATCGGAAAGCAGACAAAGTACAATGTGCGTCCTCCGCCCTCTCCCTCCCTGAGCCAGCGTCCCGGGTGCCGCCCTGCCGCTCCGCGCAGCGTCCGAGGGCCCCCTCCTCCCTGCCCTGTGCGCATCTCCCCTGGGTCCCCCCTTCTGCTTCCGAAGGATCACTCTGGCTGGAGGAAAGGAGGCTGAGTGAGGGCTCGGGAAGGCACACCCAGCCCGAGCCCTGCTGCTCTCAGACTCACCAAACCAGCGCCGCCCTTTGCTTCGACCACATTTCCCTCCCTGTGGGGAGGAGTGAGCCCCCCAGGAGAGAGAGCGCAGGGCAGTGACTGGGACCTGGGAGACGGGGGAGTGGCGGCGGTGTTTGCGGGCACCCACGTGCTGAGACGAGAGCGGAAGGAGAGAGAAGCCCCGACTCCTGAGTGCTCCCCGTGCTGGTCTCCAAGCCGTGGCTGGAATCGCCTCGCTCTCCTGGGGCTTCTGCCTGCCTGTCTCTTCCCTCTGCACTGGACACCCTGTGTTTTTTTTCTTTGTCGTTTCTGTCCTTTGTTTCTAGCAAGACTGAGGACTGGGGCTATTTAAATGAAGACGGAGAACTCGGTCTGGCCTACCAAGGCCTAAAGCAAGTTGCCAGGTCAAGCGCGTGCCTTCCTTCCCGTGTCTGCTCTGTTCTGCCTGCCGGTGCCTGTGCTTGTCTCTCGGCTGCAGCGGCTGCAAGGGCCGGGGCACAGCTTGCGGGGTGTGCGGGGCAGCCCTCCCGTGCAGGTGGGGTCGGGAGGCTGCCGGTTTGGGCCGAGGTGACGGCACTCGGGGGCCTGGTGGAACGAGCCTTAGAAACCACCTGGTCCAGCTGCCTGGCTCTACGCATGAAGGAAGGGGCGTGGGGAGTGTCAGCTGACAGCGGGCTATTTTTAGAGCCAGGCTGAGAAGGAAATTTAATTCTGGGGCCTCTGGAGTCGGTGCTGCTTCTGTGCCACGTGCTGACCATCCTAACTCTGCAGGGTCAGCTCTGCCTGGGCGCCCGCCCTGCGCGCAGCAGACCCGCAGCTCCCTGCCTGCGACTGCCTGACGCTGCTGGCGCTGCGGAGGAGCCCTGCACTCTGACGCGTGTACGAAGGCTGCCCCTCACCGCGCACGCACGGGGCGAGGGCGCTGGACCGTGCTGTGTGCACAGAAGGGTCACAGTTTGACACCAGAGTCCGAGCCTCTGACCCACTGGCCTTCGGCCGAGGTCCACACGGAAGTGACACAAGGCGGTGGTCACGTCACACGCTCATTGTCTGCATGTGGGTTTGGGGCCGTGGCATAGCTTTGTGCGTCTGAGACCCCCAACAACGGGTGGGGCAGTGGTCCTCGGCCCGTTTCCCAGGAGAGGAGACTGAGGCTCAGTGAGGGGGCGGAGCCAGAACCGGAGCCAGGTGCCCCGGTGCACCTGCTTCGAAGGCCTGCCTGCTGATGATGGATGGGCGGGGGTCCTGTGGGAGCCGCGAGGGCATCTCTTCCCTGGAAGAGGAGGTCCAGGTCAGCTGGCGCGTGAGGTGGTGTGTCTTCTGGCCCTGGGTTCAGACGTGACCGCCTGTGAGCAAGGTGAGGTCTGTCTCCACTCCCTCCCTGGAAGAACGGGGATCGGGATTGACCTGCTTCCCCAGGTCACTGCACATTACAGGGTGAACACAGGTAAGGCGCTTTGCACGAGGCTGGCATGTCCCAAGCACGGAATAAATGTCAGCTGCTGTTTCTATTATCATGCGTATTATGCAAGAAGATCAGACTCCCGTCCCATCAAGAAGTTTGTTTCATCGGAAGGTGGGGCCCATAGGTGCAGCCGGGCGTCTCCCCGTGGCTCGCTGTCAGCAGGCCGGCTGTGGCCGGACACCTGAGTAACGGGATGCGGCGACAACACCGAGCCCGGGCCTGGGCATCAGGAGACCCGGCCCTGCCCCTGGCCGTGGCCTCCAGCTCTCTCGGCCTTCACTTCCTCACCTGCAGGGTGAGGTGTCCGGCCCGACACCGGGGCAGGGGTTCTCTGACCCTGCACAGCCCCCCAGCTAAGCTGCCCACCCACCGTTTACATGGAGAGTGAGAAAGACGTGGGCTTAAACCCGCAGCCCAGGGACTGATCCTGGGCCCTCTCCGGTGAGCCGCCCCTCACTCACTAGTGCGTGCCGGAGCGCGCTGTAGCGAGGTTGGGCGTGCCCGAGCACTGTCTGTCCTCTGCAGTGCCGCTGCAGCTTCCAGTTCTGCTCCGAGATGCTCACTCGCACCGCTGCCTTCCCGCCGGGGAGCTGCCCGCGGGGAGTGGGGGACGCGGTCACCCCTCCACCTCGTCTCCACTCGCCCGCGTTGCTTTGTCGAGAAGCCACTGGGAGCCGAGCGTGGTGCCCGGCGCCTCTTTGGAGCCAACTGTGCGGCGGGAAACGTGGCTGCTTCCGTCTGGGAGTCGGCAGTGCCGACTCTCCCCTCCCTAGCTCGCGTCTCTCTCTGTGGCAGCTGTCACGTCCCAGAACGACAGCAGAACTGCAGAAACACAGTGGCTCTTCGCCCCCCTGCCTCCAGAGCAGCCAGGCTCCGGGAGCAGTCAGCTGGGCACTCCCGGCTCCCCGCTCTGTGCCCAGCTGCGCCACCGTCTTCACCTGCATCCCAGGGAGAGACGGGGCGGCGTTTCCCGAGGTGGATCAGGTTGGGGAGCTTTGATGGCGCCTCCCACCCAGAGCCCCCTGCCTTTCTTTCGAGTGACGTTTGCTGGGTCAGGAATCCTGCCCAGGTGGTCGAGCCCATGAAGACGGCACCATCCTCGTGTTAGCATGTGACTTCCCCAAGGGGAGGCTGCTTGGGGACCTTCCTTAGGTTCTCGCCTTTGCCCAGGTAGCCGGAGCCCCTGGTCCTGGGCCTCTTAGACTCAGTCACCTGAGACTTCTCCCAGCCTCCTCTGGGTCTCTCTGCTGCTTGTCATAATCGGGGGTTGGGGGGGGGGGTTGTTCTTTATATAGAGCTGGAGATAAAGTGAGGGTAACAGTGGTGAGAATAAAAAGGGGCTAATAATTTGCCTTTCTAAAACCTGCAGAGAATCTACTATAGCGAGAATATGCAAATAAATTACTTCAGTCTACCAGAGTTTAGTCTTGAGATTCTCATGAACTCGGAGGCAAAGGGTCGAAGCTTTTATTTAGAAGACGCTATAAGAAATTTATTTCTGCTGATGAGACGGACTGTGCCCCAAAGGGAAGAACAGGGGAAAGAGGGGGTCGAGAAGAAGGCCCGGGACCAGGGCTGCATGGCTGGCCCTGGTGTCCCGCCTTCCGGGAGGCCAGGCTGGCCCGCTTGCTGGATGGGCCACGGCAGGTCTGCGCCCTCGGCATCCACCCTGCCGGGTCCGTGCAGCTGCTGCTGCTGCTGCTGCTGCGTGCCTGGCCGCCCCCCTGCTGCATGTCCGCCGGGGGCCCCTTGCTCGGGGGCACTGGCCCCTGCCCCATGGTCAGCCGCCCTCCTCGCCCTGGTGCAGGTTGCTGGAGGCGCAGCTGCAGGCCCAGAGCCGCACGCACGAGGAGGAGGCAGAGGCCCTCCGGGCCCAGGTGGAGGCCTTGAAGGAGGAGCTGGACCGGCAGCAGCAGACCTTCTCCCAGACGCTGCTGCTCTCCCCCGAGGCCCAGGTGGAGTTCGCCGTCCAGCAGGAGATGTCCCGGCTGACCAACGAGAACCTGGTGAGTAGCTGTTGCCCAGCAGACCCCAGCTGTGGGGAGTCGCATCCTGGAAGACAGCGGGGCCAGGGTTGGCCTTTAGCCAGATGGACAGAGTCCATGCCCTTGGCCCAGGAGCAGGGACAGAGAATCCAGACACCAACCAGCCAGCCAGCAGGGGTAGGCGGAGACATCTCAGTCACCTGTTGTGTCACACACCAGCGTCCCCAGAACTTGGCAGCTTTAAACAGCGAGTACACTGTGCGGTCGGAGACTGGCCGGGCGCGGTGGGCGCACGGGGTGCACCGAGTCCCTGCTGCGCTGGTGCGGGCTGGGGCTGGAGGATCGACATGGCCTCAGTCCCGGGTCTGGGGCCTTGGTGCCAGCTGCCGCCCTTCGTGGTGTCTGTGTGTCTGTCTCCAGGTGCTCCCCTCATTCCTGGTCCACCCGGAGCCGCGCTGCGTGCCCCCGACTCCCAGAAGAAGGGGGGAGGGCAGCAGCGGGGAGGCCTTTAGGACCCGGTCCCAGAACTGACACAGGGTCGCTTCTGCTGCTTTCCACTGATCGAAGCAGCTAGGCCAGATGCAGTGTGTGTCGTTGGGGTGGGGGGTGGACTCCTTTGGCTAGGAGTCATCACGGGAGGGACTGTTGGTGCCCTCCCCGCCCCGCTGACGGTCACCAGAGAAATGGAAGGCAGTCTGTCCTCAGCTTACAGGTGAGCAGGAGGAATAAGACAGGTAAAGAAGAAGAGAAAGATCGTGTTTCTGAAAACATGATTGTGCACGGGACTAACAAGTATTACTGAACAAGACAGGCGCGTGGAGGAGGCTGGACTGAGGCAGGAGGCGTGGAGGGATGTCACCCATGGTGACCGACGGGCAGGGAGGAGGGGGAGGCGAGGGCGCACAGGCCGGGCGCAGGAGTGGGTGGCCCAGGAGCTGAGGGAGCCCACTGGGGGGCAGCAGGGGTTGCCCGCAGGCCCGCCCACCGCAGAGCCGCCATCCACAAGCATTTCCCCCTCACCACCGGGTGGCCCCGGGTGGGCGGCCAGCTCACTGAATCCCGAGGCGCGGGCAGTGGGGCTGGACCCCAGGCCGCTGAACAGGACTCGTGTACGAATGATCCGCCTGCCCCCTTCCCTCTCTGTCTCTCTCCATCTGCATGTCACCGTCCAGCACACGCAGGTGTGAGGAGGTGGCTCTGTGGAAAGGAGCGTACACGTTAAATTGCTGGACTGGCTTCTGCCAGGTGAAAGAGGCAATGTGGGAGAGGCCTCTGCTGGTGCATGTTTCTGGGGGGCCACTGGCCAAGTGGCCTGGCAGGCGACCCCCTTGCAAGGAGGGCTGTGCTCTCAGAGGAACCATGTGAGGTCATGGGACAGCTTAGGAGTCAGCACTCCTTAGCTGGGGAGGCACCCCTTAGGAGGGGCACTGGGGGCCCCTCCAGGCCCGACTGTGCGTCCCGGGGCCTGAACAGGAGGAGCCTGGGGTGTGGGCAGGCGAGGGCGAAGATGATGAGGAAAGCTCGGCTTGCAGCCAGCTGGGAGACTTCCAGAGCACAGTCCACACTGTTTGCCCAGGCGAGGCTGGGCCCCCACGCAGAGCCATGGGGGCAGGGCTCTTTGTTCCCCAGCTGAGTGCCCCCTGTGGGCTGCCAGCGAAGCACTGCCACCCGCAGGGAGGATACAGGGATTCGGGATCACCCGGCACACTTGCAGGGCTGTGTGGGAGGGAGGGTGTGGCGTCTCCCAGGAGCACCTTGAAGAGCTTAGAGATGTCCCAGGCTTGCCCACCTGTTTCCCAGATTCCTTGTGAGTCGAACTCATTCTTTTCTTTCTCAAGCCATCCGTAATTCTAGCCTCCAGGACTTTGGCCCTCGGTAGCTCCCCAAGTTCAACACCCAGTGTGGCCAGCACTGTGTTGCCTTTCATTTGTCCTAAGTTTGCTGAGGACAAGCTTTGTCACATTTCTCTCCTTATGGAGGTGAACGGTTGAAGTCCTCGACCACGTCTGCCACTGGGTTTGTGGTCGCCACGCCACAGCCCTGAGGTTGAGGGTTTGGCCGGCTTCCTCCCGGGGGCCAGCCTTCGAAATGTGCCACCCAGGCGTTTGTGGCCGCATAGTGGCACGTTTGTGTCCGCCTTCGGTGGCACTCCTCTGTCGTCACAGCGACGACAAATGGTGATGGGGTTCCCTGCCTCCCGCCAGAGGGCCATGCCTGGCTCGCATGGGGGTGGCACTGATGCTGTTCCGGTCTCAGCGGGCTGACTGCTTCCAGGGACCGTGGTTGCTAGGGACAGGCAGCTGCAGGAGGGTGTGGGCCTGGGGCCTGTTTTGCTTCGGGGCCCCAGGTCACCTCGCCAGCCTGCTGGCTCTCACCCCACCCCCGCCGCAACCGCCACAGTGTCTGTTCCTTCCCGGGGCGCTGCCCGCACACCTGGGATGCCCCTGGCTGTGTAGCTCTGGGGGTTGGCATGGCAGCCTGATGACTAGATAACCATGAGGTTCAAAGGGCACCAAGCAGCCACAGCCAGGAGTCTGTCTGGATTGTGAGAATGAACTCTGACCCACCTCCCGCTTCCTTGGTCCAGACCAGGGAGAAGTGAGCTGCGTGGGGGGTCCCCTGGCCAGTCACAGAGCCGCCGCTGCCTCGGGTGGCGGCCTCAGCCACTCTGCACTAAAGGATTCTGCCCTTTGCCCTCCGGGGCAGGGTCAGGAATGTTCTTACACTGTGCCCTTCTGCTTTCAGGACCTTAAAGAGCTGGTAGAAAAGCTGGAAAAGAATGAGAAGAAACTCAAAAAACAATTGAAGATCCACATGAAGAAAGTCCAGGACCTAGAAGGTAGGCGTCTGTGGGTGCGTGTTTCCTGAGGCCCCGGGGTGCCGAGCCGGGCCTGCCTCCCGCCGTGGGCTCTTCCCGCCGCCCCGGCCTCCTGGCGCCTGTGCCGGCGCAGTCACGGGGGTGAGCCCCTCCGACCACGAGCCCAGCCTCACTCGGTGTGCCGGCGGGTGTATGCACTCCAGACACACGGACACGGCAGGCTCCAGACCAGGGCCTGGCCCAGAGAGGTCAGACGGAGATTTAACTTGCTCTTCAGAAACACCCAGAATGCCCTCTTCCTCTGACACTCTGCTGCAGAACTAATCCTGTCACTCCCTGCCCCCTCTTTGCACATGCCACCTTGCCTGGAACCCTCTCGGCCACCTCCCCATTGGGATACCACCTGCATGTGGCATCCCGCCCCTTTCCTCCTAGCCCAGGAGCCGCTCCCTCAGGGCTGGGTCCGGCCCTGTCGCCTCGTGCATGTAGGCCCTGCGCCCCCCCCCCCCCAAGGGCCCTCTGTTTAACGCAGGGGCACCTGCTCCTCTGGAGAGGAGGCTCCAAGAGGGCTGGGCTGTCTGTCCTCTCTGGCCTCAGGCGGGCTCCCCTTTCAGCCCCCCTCTCCATTGTTGGATTTCTGTTGTCTAGTCCTCGAGTTTTCATTGTCCTGACTGCTCAGGTGGTGGCAGCAGCAGCTGCTGCTTTTTAAAAAATAAATGTACGTCACATCGTACTTGCTCAGTCTTGAAGACCTGTGACCCCCTGTCCTCGAATGCGTCTGTGTGCCCCCGCCCCTTAACCAGCTGTCCCCCCGCTCAGCCATCCAGACGCTAGCCCACAGCGAGAAGAGGCGCCACGAGCTCAACAGGCAGGTCGCCGTCCAGCGGAAGGAGAAGGACTTCCAGGGCATGCTGGAGTACCACAAGGAGGACGAGGCCCTCCTCATTCGGAACCTGGTGACAGGTCAGGACCCTCGGCGGCCCCCGCCCGTCCACCACTACAGACACCCCCTCCCTCCGTCTCCTCATTCCCCGCTGTCCCCCACCCCTGCACAGCCCCTACCCACTCCACGCTCCCCTCACCCACCACCTCAAGCTGCTGCATACCTTTGAGTTCCCACGTGATGCTGACACTAGGGTGCGTGTGGCGGCTGCCCTCTGGGGGCCAGCATGCAGGGGTCTTGGGGAGCCACTTTCCTCGCCAGCCCTGGGCCTGGTCTGTTCTTGTACAGGTTCCCCTGCCTCGGGTCCCATTCCGCATCCCGCTCCAACACTCCCATCTCCCCCTGGGGAACTGGCTGCCCACCCCAGGGTGGCAGCCACCTGCAGAGCCGTTGGGGGAGCCTCAGAGGAGAACCCGGCTGAAAACGGGGGGCCTCCTAGTGGGCTGCTCCCCCGCTCCCCACGGTGCCTTAGTTCCCAGTCTGTGATGAGAGGGGGCTGAGGGTACGGGCCGTGCCCACCCCAGCGCATGAAATTAACAGTGACAGGGCTGTGGCAAAGCCACAGGACCCTTCTCAAAGGCGGGAACTTAACGTGGTGGTTTTGGCAGGGGCATCTGAAGCTCAAAAAGAGGTAAGCGTTGTTTCAGAGAAACGTCAGTTTACTGAGGTCCCACTCTGCTGAGCACTGGCCGAGGGCTGGGGCTGCAGGGAGGAGGACCATGACCTTGGCCTAGCGCAGGTGTTTGTCAGCTCTTTGCCTTGGGCGTCGTTAGTGGTGGAGTATTTTGCTCTTTTCAGAAAGGATAAATTCCCCTAGTTGTCCAACAGTCCAGTGTGACGTAAGTTCACGTCAGTCTGCCCTAAACAGGCTGCATCTTGAACAAATGCCGATGGGCCACTCATCTCTCTTGAGTGAAGCCCAGAGTTCACAGTGTCAGAGGGGGAAACAGCACTCCTTGTGGGGACTCCCGTGCCAGCAGGTGGGGCCCCAGGCCAGGCTGCCTGCTGCCGAGCTGCCCGAGCACGGCACCCGGGCACCTTCCCTCCGAAAGACCTGGTCCAGGTCAATGTCAAGACCGTACTGACCGCCTCTCAGGTCCCCAGCAGTGGCTGTGGAGGATCGAGAGCAGCAGAGCCGTGGTCCCTGCTCCCCAGGTGCTAATGCCTGCTGGGCAGACCCTGCAAGCTCTGGGACACGGGACTCACAGCTCGTACTCGCAAATGGAACGTCCCGGGCCGGACAAGCTGATGGCAATCTCTGCATGCTTCAGGCTTGATGCAAGAGGTTATAGGCTGAACTATGGGCTCTCAAATACATTTGCCCGAATAAATGTTACTGGCACTACCGTTAGAGCAGGGGCCAAGCCCCAGCCACCTGTTGAGCCTGTGAGCTGCCCAAACGTTATCCATGTACCCGAGCATTAAGGCTCACACTTAGCATTTAACCTCAAGGGTTGGGTGTAGTTCAGGGGACAGTGAAACCCAAGTACCAACTGGAGATGCTGGAAGCACACCCCAGCCCCATCCCAGGGTCGTCCTGGAAGAAAACGTGAGGATGTTGCCCCTTCTCCTCCTCCTGGCTCACCTGCAGGTGGGGGTTGGGGCGACCCCCACTCTGAGCCTGGAGATAACTCGAGAGGTCTGGGCTGGGCGGAGGTTGGGGTGCAGGTAATGAGAGTGAAGAGTGAGGGCTGGGGAGACCCTGCTGGGCCACAGTGACCTCACCTGGGGTCTGAGGCCGTCCCAGGCCCCAGCCCCTTCTCACCTTGCTGCCTTCCTTAGCACCGGCCCCTCCCCTTCCGAGTCCTGTCCCCACTCAGGGCTCTCAGCCTGGCTGGTAGCCTCACCTGCTTACTCGGGGAGGGAAAGCAATCAGACAGCTCGGCCCGGCCCTCCAGGGGCTTTGGCAGGAAAGGACCGAGAGGCTGAGTGGGCATCCGCAGCAGCCGCAAGGAGTCGGGCCAGAGCACACCTGGTGGGGCCGGGGCCGCAGGAGGGGGCTGGAGCAGCAGCCGTCCCAGGCTGTAGCCAAGTTAGCGCTGACCAAGACAGAGGCTGCTGAGACCCTTGTCAAGGGTGGCACTGCGGAGGGGAGACGGTGGCCAGCTAGCAGCCTGTGGCTCGATCAGCTCTCAGAATGTCTGGGCAGGCAGGTGCTGTCAGGGGCACCGTTCCTGAGCGCACAGCCAAGTGGGCTGGAGGTGGCTGCAGGCTCCCCGCCGGTCCTGTCTTTGGGAACGTGCAATTTGCCAGGTTCCCGTGGGGGCAGCCCTCGCCTTCCTGCTGCTGAAGGAGCCTTTTGTGCCCAGAACAGCAAGTCCTGTTGGGGCTTCTCGCCCAGCTCTGCCCTCAATGTGCCCTGGCCCCAGGCCTCTTGTGGCCTCCATGTGTCGATTCCAGCAGGGAGCTGCTTGTGGGCTCTTTTCCTCCGTGCTGTACGGACAAGGCATTAGGAGCCTGCTTTAGCAGTGCAGGCCGGGGGATTGGGAATGTGTTTTGTTTGTCAGAGGTTTTTAACTAGTTTCTGGAACTGTAGTCAGGGTCAGTGGGGTCTGTGGCTCCCAGGTAGGACACAGCTTCCCCCTACTCCCTGCCAAACCTCCACGAGGGGCCACTCTCAGGTGAGCCAAGGAAGATCCTGATGACGGCTGCGCCTTGGGCCAGGTTCTCACGCCCTGAGCATCGCTGTAGACCTAACCCTTGCTGTTTGCTGCCGCCAGAGCTGAAGCCCCAGGCGCTGGCGGGCACGGTGCCCTGTCTCCCTGCTTACATCCTCTACATGTGCATCAGGCACGCGGACTACATCAACGACGACCTCAAGGTGCACTCCCTGCTGACCTCCACCATCAACGGCATTAAGAAAGTCCTCAAGGTCAGTGTCCCACGCCAAAGGGGGCGGTCCGAGGGGTCTGAGTGGAGCCCGCACCACGCCGTCGCTTCTCCCTGTCTGGGTTTCGCGGTAGTGGGTCGAAGTCTCTGGCGGTAAATGACAGAAGCGCAGCAGCAGTGCACCCCCGTAACCGGGCGGTCCCCAGCCCCCAGAAGGATGCTCAGGCTCAGAAATGGCAGGGAGCCCAGAAATCCAGGGCAGCCCTCCAGCTGCTCCCTGCTGAGCCTCTGGGAACCTCACCCATCCTCAGCCGACCGAGGTGATGTGCAGGGAACTGACCTGAACACAGATGCTCCCCGAGACCTTCCCACGGGGGCTGTGGGCCTGCTGCCCAGGGTGGCAGCACAGGCCAGAACTCCCACAGGACACTGACTTGGTTCAGGGGTGACACCTGAGGGCAGGTGAGGCCTGGCCCACAGAGGGCCAGAGGCTGGGAGGCCAGGTTTTTTCACACCGCCCAGCAGGCCCAGACCCCACGGGGTATTACTGAGTGACAGTCATCCTGTTCTTACACGTACTGCCACTTCAGGGTGTGAGCCACCCGTGCAAGCACTGAGTCTGGCCCCACGCCGGCCCCTCCCTGAGCGTGCCACAGCCGGCCCGTAAGCCCTGGCTTCACTCAGCCCTGTGCCGTGCCCGCACCCGCCTCCCTGCCGTGGGCTCTGGAGGCACTTTGCTCCACTCCCAGCCCTGAACACACGTCCACGTGCGGGCAACACTCAGATCTGGGCCTCCTGCCTCGACTCTTCCCTGAGCTCCAGCTGGGCGCCTGGACCAGGTTCGGTGCGTCCATGCCTGACTTCGAGTGTCCCTTCCTCAGGGAAGCCTTCCTCGTCACCAGGCTCCATTAGCACGCCCAGCCCCACCCACCCCTCTGCTCCTGCGACACTGTCTCTGCAGCTTGCGCCTCATCTGGTGTTTACACTGTGACGGTGTTTACTGACAGAGGAGGTCCCACACAGTCACCGGTTGTAGCACAGAAACCGCCTCGGGGCTGTGAGGGCTGTTGAGCGGCCTTTCGGCTTTAGTTATGGTTTGTAGTCACTTCTCAGAGAGTTAAAGCCACTGGACATTTGACCTCTAGGTAAACGGGATACCAGAATATTCCCGCAGCATGCCCCCTCACCTCTGATGCCGGGTCACTGAGAGTGCAGACCGGCCGGGACCTCTAGCTGGGCCACCGGTGCCGGGGCTTGTGTTCTTCAGCTGCAGAAGCAGCCTGTCCCTGGTGTGCACGCCGCCGGTCAGGGGACCAGCGGGAGGTGTCTGGGTGCCATCCCCAGTCCTGGAGGGATAGTAACCGGGCCTCCTGGCAGTGGGTCTCATCTCTGTGACTGGCAAGTGCCTGCCTGCCCCCAGGTCTGCTTGGGGCATGCTGGGCACGAGTGGCGAACACAGACAGAGAGGCACCAGGACAGCATTTAACCTAATGGGAACTGCGCTCATGAGGAGGGATGTCGTCTTCTTTTCACAGAAGCACAATGACGACTTTGAGATGACCTCATTCTGGCTCTCCAACACCTGCCGCCTGCTTCACTGTTTGAAGCAGTACAGTGGGGACGAGGTGAGTGCTGAGGGGGAAGCCCAACCCTCCACTGTCGGTTTAGAAGCTAGCCAGGTGCTCCAGACCCTGCCGCAGCTCGGAACGCGTTCCCGGGATGGCGGTCCGTGTCCCAGCTCAGAGCACCGCAGACCCCGGCCCGCATGCGCTTCTCCCCAGGAGCGGGGCCAGGCCTGTGCGGCCCCTTGGGGGCCTCAGGCCGTGGGCATGCCGCACTATACCTGGTAGCTAGAAGCAGGAATGAGGCAGGTCCCGAGGACCTCGGGCCCCAGAAAGCACCCTGAATCAAGTCAGTAGAACAGAAAAGGAGCTGGCACAACCCGCCCATTGTCTGAGAGTGCCTGGGGCTCTCCAGGGAATCCCTGCGCCTCTGGGCGTCTGGAGCAGCCGTAGAAGAGGCCCATTTCAGTGACGGCTGGGAGGAAGCCCACTCGGCTAGTGTGTGGGACTGTCTCCAAAGCCAACTGATTAGTGTGTCCATTTTAAAGCCCAGAGAGGTGGCCAAAAGAAGAGAGGTTCAGCATAAATCAATGACGCTTGTATAAACTGACCTTGAGACCCAGCTGACCTTGTGATGTCATGTTCTACTGTGGACCAGCTTCACCCAGCATGCACCAGTCCCCACACCAGTCCCTGAAAACACTCCTCCCATGCTCTGCAGTCAGCCCCACGGCCTGGGAGCACACGGCGTGTTTTCACGCTCAGTTCACCAGTGAGAGCCCAGCCGGTGCCAGACACGCCCGCTCCAATCCCTGCAGGCCTCCTGGCTCTCCTTTCACACAGCTCGCTCTCTGCCCTCCGTCTTCTGTGCCAGCACAGGTGTGACAGACCCCTCTGCCTGCCATAATGAAAGGGCATCCCGTCCCAGTCAGTCTTGCCGTCTCCAGAGTGTGAGTGACAGGGCCCTCCCAAAGGTCACATACACACAGAGAAACAGGACGTTGCGAAGGAGCCTGGAGGCCCCGAGCCCCGGCTAAGCTGGACCGACCGCAGACCCTCAGTAAAGCAAGCCCCGCCCCCCCTCCACAGGGCTTCATGACTCAGAACTCCGCCAAGCAGAATGAGCACTGTCTGAAGAACTTCGACCTCACCGAGTACCGCCAGGTGCTGAGTGACCTCTCCATCCAGATCTACCAGCAGCTCATTAAGATCGCCGAGGGCATGCTGCAGCCTATGATCGGTGAGCCGCCAGCGGCAGGGGCTCTCCAGCACTCGTCCCGGGGTCTGAAGCGAGGGGAAGGTGTGGCGAGCCCTGCTTACCTTCCGGGGACTGGGCGCGCGGGGCACAGCCTTCGGAAAGCCGGGGCCTCCCCAGCGAGGGGCGATGAGATTTTCCACACCATCCCATCAACACACACAGTGCTTGGGCAGTGAGCACATAGATCATTTCCTTTATCTCTTTTTCTGTAGTATATTATTTTCCCCCCAAACTAATTTCCATAGGTGATAAACTCAAAAGGTATAAATAATATACAGTGAAAAATATGCTGTCCTCTTGCTCATGTAGATGCTTAACCCATGAGAAAAAGAAAGCACAGAGCGTGTTCATGTGCAGGGAAGCAGTAGCACACGCTTGCACAGTGCAAGCTACTGCACGCTCCCTTCGCCCAGGGCAGCGCACCTGGGAACAGAGTGTGACACCAGGATTGGAACATAAGAGCGGCGCTGTCCTAGGGCACAACAAAAATTACACTCACTGCTCCATGCAGGTTCCATGGGGGACAGAGTCCACACGCCATGCAGAAATATATCCTTGGGATAAGGTTCATCCTAAATCCTTATAGTCTGAACATTTTCTTGTGAGACACCAGTTTCTTCTCACCAGACACAGGGCGAACTGGGATACTCACAAACCAGAATAATGTGATAATTAATAATAGCATCAGCACTGGAGTCGGACAGGCCTGGGTTCAAATGCCGACCTTGCCAGTTCCTAGTGCTGTGACCTTGGACAAGTTATTTAACCTCTGTATGCTTCATTTCCTCATCAGCAAATAGGTTGTTGAGGAATCAGCAAATAGGCTGTTGAAAATTAAAAGAAATGCTGGCCACAAAGAACCTGGCAGGTAGTCAAGTGCGGTGCTGTGATTATCACAGACCAGCTGCATGGCCAGTGGCTCACGGTGAAGAGCTGTTTGGACAGGTGAAGAGAGGACCTCTGAGTCTAGGGTCCAGGGGCAGGGCCAGCACACCCCAGTGTCTCAGTTCTCAAACTGTGGAGTCTTAGCACAGAACCCAGTACGTACTGAGTTGGTACATTTAAATGGAAGTTTGGTCAACAGCTGCCTTATTCCATACAAAGACCAGCACATTAGAAGTTCTCTGCTGAAGGCTCTCAGTCAGGGGCCTGTCAGACGGTATTGTTGCCAAAGTCCTGGGTGCTGGAGGACCCGAACGGTCCGGAAACAGACCTCTGGGGAACGTGCAAGCTTCCGTAACGATGCTGTCCCTCCAGTTTCGGCCATGTTGGAAAACGAGAGCATCCAGGGCCTGTCCGGAATGAAGCCGACGGGCTACCGGAAGCGCTCCTCCAGCATGGCGGACGGGGATAACGCCTACTGCCTGGAGGCCATCATCCGCCAGATGAATTCCTTCCACACGACCATGTGCGACCAGGGCCTGGACCCCGAGATCGTCCTGCAGGTGTTCAAACAGCTCTTCTACATGATCACCGCGGTGACGCTCAACAACCTGCTCCTGCGGAAGGACGTCTGCTCCTGGAGCACAGGCATGCAGCTCAGGTAGGGGGCGCCGGCACGCCTGCGCACACCAGCTGGGGCCGGGGCGCGAGACACCTCTGAACACGGAACCCCAGTCTGGCTTGACAGGCCTTGTCCCGGTCAGTGTGCAGCTCAAATCCATCACCGTTTCACACGTGGGTGGAATTCTCCAAACACTGGGAGGGTGGCTTGGTAAACAGATTAGTTCGGGGCTTAGAGACACTTACCTACTCTGATTTAAAGACTGTAAACACGATGTGGACAGACAGCTCATTGACTTTTCTCTCTGGGCTAAGTGCAGGGTGGGGCCAAAGTGGGTTCAGAGTTATTTATATGGAAAATACAGTAATTAATAAATAACAATATAAGAATAAATTCTTTCACATACTCACAGCTGTAAACCTACTTTTGCCCCCACCCTGTATTTTGTGAATGTTAAATATTAGTTGTTTTAATTCAACATATTTAATACCTCTGTTCCCCATAAACTTCTACAGACCCCTTACATACTTCGTCCTGTGATGTGAGGCACCCATTCATTCGGTAGAAAGTTACTGCGTGCCCAGTACTTTCCAGGCTTGGGCCCGGGTGGGATGGTTCTGGTGAGAAGGCTGGCGGTAGCGGCAGCGAGGCTGCCGAATCAACACGGCAGGTTGCGCATCCCGGTGCCTTAGGAGGACCGACCTAGCACCGCTCCCTTGCACCCCTGGTTAAGGTACAATATCAGTCAGCTTGAGGAGTGGCTCCGAGGAAGAAACCTTCACCAGAGCGGAGCCGTGCAGACCATGGAGCCTCTGATCCAAGCAGCCCAGCTCCTGCAGCTGAAGAAGAAAACCCCGGAGGATGCCGAGGCCATCTGCTCCCTCTGCACCTCGCTCAGCACTCAGCAGGTGCGGTTCCTGCGCACGTGTCACCCGGGGGGCTCGGAGGAGCGAGACCAGCCTCGTTCCCCGTCTTCTCTCGCCAGTGGGTGTTTTGGGAGGGAGGGGGTGTGCACGTCCAGCCTTTCTGTACACCTAAAGATACAATTCTGAAGTTGCAGCCAAGGGAATGTCCCCAAATGAATCCAAGACCCCTGTGGTCAGTGAAATGAGAGGCCGCTGTTTTCCACCAACTTCCTCTGCTTCCTGCTGCTCACGTAGATAGGGCAGCAAACCCCGAAAACGTTTTAAACACTTACAATGAATTCTGGAATGTTTCTCGCCTAGAGAAATTTAAATTTAATATTTTTCAGAAATTGGCAGTATCAGCCATTTGGCATTAAATAAATTGCTTTTTTTACAGTTATTAATTTCATTATGGTCAGTTTTAATGTAGAATTTATTTATATTGTTTTAAATAAAGTCATGAAGCACCCAGGGGCATTTAAGTGTTCCTCTCCTTCCCCCTAGGATAAATAAATCGTATTTATCCTAGGACTTGGCCACAGAGGTATTACTTCTGTACGGAAAGATGAGTCCTGTCCACACACAGGGTGACCTTGACTTCCCTCCGGGGTGTGTGCCTGTTTAGAAATGGGCCGCCACAGATGGTCTCACAAAATGAGACCAGCACAGGAAATCAGACTTCCTAAATTACATCATGGGCCTTCTCCTTCTCCAGCACCTAAAGAACAACAAAAACCCAAACTCAGCATTGCAAAGTAGACAATTTCCCTACCTCTTCCACCAATTACTAAAAGATGAAAGACCAAACTCTTAAGAAAACTGCTTCCCTTCTACAAATGTACTGAAATTTTTCAAACTTTTATTCTCCCTTGGAAATACATTGTTTATCCAGAATGCATCTGGCAATGATTTGCATTTGGGCAGGCTACTTACACCAAATAAGATTAGGAATAAGATTATCCTCCAAATCAGAAAAAAAAATCTGTTCCTTAGTGATTTGGGGGGAGCCGTAGGAGGTAGGGAGGTGCAGTCAAACAAGACCTTCATCGTCTACGGTAAGATCCTCAGTACTCTCATGAAGAAACCTTTAAATGACCAGTAGATAACTGGCTGAGGATGTCAGGTTTCCTGAAACCCTCATTTTCTAAGCCTTAAAGCACAGGGGGCAGGGCAGGCAGGAGGCAGGGATGTGGGGGGAAGGCCCAGCTCAGCCAGGCAAGGCGGCGACCCGCCAGTCCACCTCTGAGCTGGGGTCCTGCCTGACGGGCTGGACTCTTGTGTCAGTATCATGTGGTCTTTAAAGTTCAAAGGCTCTCCTGTGTTCATTCTAGCTCTCTGCTGAACTTCTTTTTATTCCAACAGATTGTAAAAATTTTAAACCTTTATACTCCCTTGAATGAATTTGAAGAACGAGTGACAGTGGGCTTTATACGAACCATCCAGGTGAGTTTCGCCACCGGCAGTAACTGAACTGTGTACCCAGTGCAGCTAACCAAGCAAGCGGAGTATCAGCCCTACCCAGGAGTGGACCTAGAAATATTCTTTTAAGAGAACAATTTGAGCTCTTAAATCTTTTTTGTAAGAATTATAACATTTGCTCTTAGGAATATGCTTGAAAGAAATGGTATTTTAATCTGTATTAAGATGATGGGAATTTTTTACTTCAAGATGGGCTTCCTCGCGCCGAGCCCCAGGTGATTCTGGCTGAGTGCTGACCTCTAGCGCACCTGGAGCCGACCGCGTCTGCTCGGAGTCATGTCGGGGTTCTCTCAACAGTGAACACTTCTCCACTGTGGGTGGGGAGCACCTTGAGACATAATGCTTCCTCGAGTTTTTAAACAAGCAGCCTCTACAGCCGGTGAACTGATGGCAACACAAACTATAAGGATAAAAAGAAATGGGGGGAAGCAATCAGGGCAGGAAAAGGGGAAAGGAACAAAGGGATTTTAGCGGGGTGTGTAGGGAGAGAACAGAAGGTAGAGGCTAAAGGTCAAGGGAGGAGGCCAAGTCAGATCAAAGGCTGCTCCTTCAAGTGCAGTGGGAGAGACGTGGTCAGTGGGTGCAGTGAGACAGGAGAGGTCCAGGCCGCAGGGAGCAGCAGGCAGAGACTTGCCCCCATGGACACCTCAACAGGCAGGGGCATCAAGAGAGAGGGTCCGGGGGTCAGGGTGCACGGACGGTCAACTGCTGAAAGGGGAGGCAGTTTGGTGACAGAAAAGAAGCCACTGAAATGTCCGACCCACTACTGATTTTTACAGTTTACACAAAGCAAAGTACAAGTTTAGGAAGTCTTGACTGTTTTCAATGTAACTGCTTAAAAATTGGCGAGGGTGCTGTTTACAAGGACAGAATTCAGACCAGAGGTGACAGGATACTCGTCAAGTCCAAGTTCAGGTTTGAACTAAGAGCAGAGGAGAAAGGTAATGGAGGTTGACCAGACAGTTGCTGAAAACACCAGAGTCAGATTCTGAGTCTTCCTCAGCAGTCAGTCTCACACACGGCAATTCGACCAAATTGTTTTGGTTTTCCAACTATAGCTTCATGTTTGACTGCTCCCCAGACAGTGCGCAGGGGAAAGGGCGGAGCAGTCCGTGCGCCCTTGTGCCTCTGCACAGACCTCACGGAGGGTGACTACACATTGTCATCAGAGCAAGCCACCTGCTTGGGGGCACGGGCCGGATATGTTGGCCTGGAAGATCTTTTCCACCCTCTTACTTTCCATCTCTTGGGTCTCTAAAGTGAGACTTCGTGGGTAGCGTATAGCTGGCCTGCATTTCTTTGTTTCGCTCTGCCACCCTGTCATTTCCTGCGACATCGCTCGCCCCACTGCATCTCCCAGGTGAGGAGAGTGAGGCGCAGGAGGGGCAGGCACTCGCCCAGGGCCCCTGCCCTCAGCGTCACAGCCTCAACCGCTCTAACGCGCTGCCTCGCCACGAGTTCCACCTGAAATGTATTTTCTCTACTCTCTTAGATGGAAAACTTTTTAAAGAATGCTAAAATTAGGAGGGAGGTTAGTCATCTGACCCCCAACAAGCCTAAACCAGGGAATACCTCGGGGAGAGGGAAGGCCACCTTCCCCTGCAGCCCCACCAGTTAGCAGGGCCATTTCCCTGGGAGCCGCTTCCCTGGGTTTCCCTGCACAGGCCCGCGGTGGGTGGGTGCGTGCGTGTCTCACAGGCCCTGTGCTCCCCACAGGCCCAGCTCCAGGAGCGGAGCGACGCCCAGCAGCTGCTGTTGGACTACAAGCACATGTTCCCTGTCCTGTTCCCCTTCAACCCGTCCTCGCTGACCATGGACTCCATCCACATCCCAGCGTGTCTCAACCTGGAGTTCCTCAACGAAGTCTGAAGACGCACGGCTCCAGCCTGGGCCCAGCTGCCAGGGAGAGCGAGGAGGGGGCACACAGGGAAGCCCGTGACAGCGGGTCGGATTGGAGAGCGAGGGGATGGGCGGAGTGCTGGCCTGTACAGAATAAGACATCTGCCACTATTTTTTGTACCTACTGCTCAGAATAAAAACACTTGAAATGTGGTTTAAGTATGATTTCAGTATACAGAAATGCACATCCTAGTCCCCACCACCAGGCAGTCCCCATGACCATGGAAGAGGTGCCAGCCTGTAGAATGGGAGCTGTCTAGTTTTGATCCAAGGAATATACAGAGTGAAGTATGAAAACATGGGAGTCACATAAGTTGCATTCAGAGGACCTTTAACAAACGATGGTGCTAAAAACCATGACACTACCATATAGTGTGACAACTCCCAGGCCAACAAACTATAGGTGTGAATGAGTGTGTGGGGAAATGTCTTCAGAAGGAGACACTGGCCTGGGCCTTCTGAGACACTGCCCGCACGTATTTTTAATGCCTGGTGACGCAGAGGCAATGCTCTAACTGACCTCCTGCCCAGACAGTCTGAGTACTGGTTCCTGAAGCAAGATTAGATGGAGCAGTTCCCAATATGCTCAAACCCTTTTGTGTAGTCGTGAGTGTTCTGGAAAAAAAGCTGCTGTCCCAAATGAAAAAAATGTGAGCAAGAAACTGTCTCCAGCACTAGTCCACATATTTACCTGAGTCAACAGAAATCTGTGTAAGTTCCAACTTAGAAAGGAATGATTCTAGTTTTATTCACAGATTAAAAACCAAACAAGTCAGCATAAAAGCCTTTAATTCCTTAAAGCCATTAAAACTCCAATAAAAACATCACATAATGCCCTGGTGAGTCAAGCTAACCAAAACAATTAGGAAAACAAACCATCTTGAGAATCAGATTATTTGAAAAACCTTTCTGAAACAGAGTTCAGGGATTAAGTTACTGTCTGAAAGGTTGTGGTTTTGTGTGTGTATTTTTAATGAAAGAATAACTTATGTCAACTTTCCCTTTTGTTATTTTCAACATTTCTCAAATTCACATAAAAATCATAAGTATCTCTGCTTTGAAATAAAAATTAAGAGTATTTGGTGACAATATTACAACAGATTTTAGATGTTTGCTGCTTTATTTTTTAAGGCCCACCCAAGGATATGTTTATTGATTTTAGAGAGGAATGGGAAGAAAGAGAAACATCAATCAGTTGCCTCCATATGTGCTCCGACCAGGGATCAAACCCACAACCTAGGTATGTGTCCTGACCAGGAATCAAACCTGCAACCTTTTGGTGTACAGGATGATGCTCCAACCAACTGAGCCACCTGACCTGGCTGTATGTTTGCTGCTTTCACAAATGTTTCTTCATCTCTTCAGAAGCAGGCATTTGATTAGAAGACCCTACATATTCTTTACACACAATTTCTACTGTTTTTCCATACTTCCGGTAGGTAACAGCATGCTGTTTCCATGACATGAACAGATGGTGTTTGTAAATCATTAAGCCTCCCTCTGTATTGAGTCAAGATAAGATTTCTCCGTGAATGACACACAGAACACCCTGCACATGCACACCACCTTCTTTGACACAGCCACTCAACAGGCTCTTAGAAACACAACGCGCTCCCTGAACAATCGTGTGCGCTCTGCTCCCACAGCCAGCTTCCTTGGTTATTTCCCTTACCCACTGGGCAGAAAAAGGCACAACAGCTGGGCAAAGACTGCTGCCCACAACGCCCACATCTGTCGTCAGCGGTGCCCCCTCTCCCGCCACACTAACCACTCCAGCTTCTCTCAGAGTCCGTCCAGAGCCTTGCTTCCTTTTGCACTTAGTTACACAATCCAACATCCAGGACACACCCCTTCAATCCACACACTGACTGTGGAAGGCCAGTCTAAAGCTGGTTGGCTCTGTGGCTCCCTCTTTTCAAAGTTGTTTATAAAGTATACCTTACTTTTTGCTGCACTGTAGTTCAAAACTGAGTCTCTCATGTAAGGACTGTTGTAATCTTCAGGATAACCAAACATGCCCTGGTAGAGTGTGCACGAGTTTGGAAGCAGTGATTCCATATGCGAAACAGCTCGCTGCCCTTCCACGCTATCTGATCCCCTCCTCCTTTCGACCTCTTTGGGGCACTGCCTCTCTGCTGCCACTGGTTAATCACTAGGTGCTGAGGACCCACTGAATGAAAGCTGGGCAACTAGAATAAATGGGGAGAAACTTATGAATAGCCCTCTACTTAGCCTAAGAGATGGCCGATTTGGTTCTCTTGCTCCAAAATATAAAGGTATTTCACTGGAGATACTTAATTTACATATACTTATAGACCACTAGCTGGCTACTTACTGTTTACATCTGCCCTATCTAACTTTACATCTGCCCTATCTAACTTAACACTTAGAGACTGGAAGACACATTTACAGGGAAACTTTAATAACCCTTTGTTAGCACTTGTATTTTCTGCGTTTTTAAGTCAGTTCAACTCAAACTTCTTCCAACTTCATGAAATCAATAATGATTTTTTATTTAAGTAACTTAATTCAACATAAAGGTTTAAACTCTGCTTTAGATATCTACCTTTATTTTTAATATGTATTATTCAGTTGACACCTTCTCGGTATGTGCCTTTAGCAGTTAGTAAGATAACTGACTTATCACTTATTTCTCTGACCTAAGTCTTGCTTGACGTAACATCATGGTGGAGTTTTGTCTTTTGAAAATCAGAAGCATTTTAAAGATTACTTAATGAAAAACAATTTATGTTCTAAGTATGATGTGGGACCCGCCTGTTTCCCTGCAGCATGTGTGGTACATTCATAATTGTTGCCGAAGCGGACAAGCATGTCATGAACACGCATGCTCCCTGTGCCCGCACGCCTGCGGGCAGGCGCGGTGACGGCACTTGGCAAGCAAGTGAGACCCGAGGAAAGCAGACTTTTCCCCTTTCCGTGGAGCATGTCAATAGGAGTCTCTTCTCAAATATCTCCTTAGAACCTTAAATACTGCACTAAGGCTATAGTGACCAGTAAGTTAGAGTCCATTTCTTTGGCATATGGTAAATTTAATTTTTTTCATGCAATTGACCTAATTCTGAGGCAGCAAGAGTGTCCTGCATCGACACCCTTGTGTAATGCCTGTACGACTACTAAGGAGTTATTAAAATGGGGCAGGGCCCTGTAGTTTTTCCTCTAGAATATTTCTCTGCAGACAGTTTCCCTAATTTGCTGCATGAGCCAAATGGCCTTCATTCACTTGTTATACACACTGGTGCCATGATTAAAGAAGTAGAAGGTATTAGAAAAATAGAGGTATTAGGAAAAAAAGATGCCAAGGACAATAAAACATGACTTGAAACATAAGAAGACTTAAAAGATAAAACATAAGAAAACTTTTTATCTTCTTATAAAGGTCTTCAGATACGAAAGACTATTTTTCCTTGAAAGTATTCTAACTCTAATAGAGGGGACTGATCAGAAAGGAATGGAAGTACTTCTACAGTGGTGCTGTTGGAGAATGACCCGGGTCTGGCTGTGACACTGTGCCGCTGGGTGACATCTAGATGGACCGCCACTCTGCAGGGGTGCATGTGTTGAGGGGTGAACCTAACATTGTACAAGAAACACTAACAAATATTTGTCCATTTTGTACAAGTCTGTAAACTACACCATTTGTTTATAGAAAAATACTTGTACTGATCACTATAATAGTCACCTATGGAGAGAACTTTCTGGAAATAAATACTTTTGAATAAAGTGCTATGATAAATTTAAATGTAATTTAAAACTCTGTAGCTACACATTAGCTGAAAAGGTTATTTTTTCATGCTTTCTTGAGAAACATTCTGGGACCTGTATTCCAACACGCATCATGATCTCTTAAACCAGAGGCTGGCAAACTACAGCCTGCAAACGTTGCAGAGGAGGTCACAGTCCCTAGAAGATAACAAGACTTATGGAGAAATTACTTTAAAGCTAAAGAGTTCAAACAAGGCAGTTTGGGTGCAGGAAAAGAGTTATATGTATAACTTTGCCTGTGGTAAAAATGACATTGGAAATCAGTGGGAAAATATTTACAAGATCCGTGTGGAAGAACTTATAAAATATAAGTGAAAAATGATGACACAGAAATATTGGAGAAATATTTCATGGGTGAGAAGACTAATTTGCTGCATTATGCCACAAAAATGTCAATTGTCCCAAAGTTAACATGTAAGTTAAAAATCAAAATCTCACCATAGCTTTTTGGTGAAAATTGACAAAGTAATTCTAAGATTTATTTGAAAGAGCAACAGACCAAGGATCAGGAAGATCCTCCTTCTTAAGAGGAGGGAAAACTTCCCCTAACAGCTATCTAAAACTTTAGTAATTAAGGTGGATAGAATCAGCAGAGAGAGAAAAACTGACCGGTGGGACAGAATAGAAAGCCTAGAATCTGAACATCAATGTGGGAAACATGGGTAAACTGTGTATTCTCTAAAGGAACACACACCAAAAGCACCTGGAAATCTTATTTAAAACGCACGTAACCAGCCCTATGTATAGAATGAGACATCTCCAGAGACGGTGCCTTTAAACACCTATCATTAGGGTCCACTAGCGGAGTATTTTCTGATACACAGGAAATGTTCACGATGTGGCAGTCAGTGAAAAGTTTCCTCTGTATTCCAACGCCCAACCTCAGGATGGACGCACCCCTTCTCTGGGTGGCTGATGGGAGACAGCCTCTCTGCAGGAAAGCCTTTACCTCATGCCTGGGGAGGTCGAGGCTTATCCTCAAGACCTCAACGGAAGCTTCTGGTCAAGTTGACAGCGTAGGTACATGTGCTCTCAGAACCTCTCGCATCCTCTCACAACCACATCAAAATTACAGAACCACCATTATTCGGAACCGCCTGAAATCGAGCTGAACGGAAGTCCTGTAACTAAAGCTAGGAAGAAGGTACCTCTGCCCTTGCCAGGTGGCTGGTTGGAGCGTCAGCCCATATACTGAAAGGTCATGCATTCAATTCCTGGTCAAGGCACATACCTAGGTTGCAGGTTTGATCCCTAGTCGGGGCACGGAAGGGAGGCAACTGATCGATGTTTCTCCCTCACATTGATTTTTTTTTCCCTCTTTCTTCCTTCCTCTCTCTCTACAAGCAATAAAAATATATCCGTGGGTGAGA